TTGGAATACAAACCAATATCCCACATCGGAAGATTAGAAAGAGAAGTTTCTAATATATAAGTCAAGTCCCACTTCAATTAGTATGAGACCTTTTGGGAAGGAGCCCAATAAATCCGTGCGGACTTGAGTTATAGGCCCAAAGCGGACAATATCATACTAATGAAAGTTGGCTTGGTTTAGAGATCCCAACAATTACTATAGTTATGGTCCTCGCGGAATACAACATTGGTGAATGAAGAAGGCAAAATACGTTAACGTTCTTTCAAAGCTTAAACTTCATTTTACTGCTAACTCTTTTTATAAACTCGCGCCTTCAGAAACTATCTATTGTATTGTTAACTTCCCTGGACAAAAACAAAACAACACACATAAGAGAAACATGACTAAAAGTGTCGTTTTTGAAAGTCTTTTGCTTTGCCTTCCCTTGAAGATTAGGCCAAAGCCGATAATTTTATACTGCTGAATTTATCGTGGATGTCCACCTTAACGGTGTACACTCTCGTGTTTTAAAGTGTTTAAAAAACAGTGATAGTGGATGTAGTATGCGAGTCTTCGTCTAAGACTCAAATTCTCCGTTTTATTAGTAGAGATACGCCACTTCTTATCTTAATTTTATTTTTTATAAATATTATTAATCATCACATCATTTATATAATAATAAGAAGAAAAAAAAAACAGATTTTCTGCGGATATACTAAATGTGGATGAAGGTGTTTAGTGTTTACAAGGATTTCAAAGAGATGTGAAGTTTTGTGTTTTTTTTTCACTCTTGTTTCTTGTTGAATCTAACTGTCTTGACCTCACCCTTTAATTATTGTAACGTAGATCCAAAAGAAGGATACATTCAAACTCTTGGAGCTTTAATAAATAAGATAGAAAATGAAATAACCTCTTTCAGAACTTTATTTACTTGCAAGAAAGTAAAAGAATAATGAAAGATTAAGTAAAGAACACCAATATTTTCAGTACTTATGAATTCACTAATACATGATACTTTATCTAGAAACAAATGAAAAAAAAGAAGAAGAAGTTAACAACAACTCAAAAGATGCAAAGTAATCAATTTGCATTTAAATTTATGAAATCTAAATTGAATAAAGCAAACAACTAAACAAGCATTTTCTCTAGCACATGCACCACATCCTTCATGGACGGTCGCTTTTGAGGCAAAGAAGAGACACAACCATATCCTAACTTAAACCATGCGACCACCTCATCTTCGCGGTGAGCCACATCAACCCTAATTGTCCCATCAACCAACCTCAAGAACCAACTTTTCTCATCGGTCTCTGAATCGCGAACAAGATCTCGATCGACCGGAAAAACTTTGCCTGTGAGAAGCTCCAAGAGTATCACACCAAATGAGTAAACATCCCATTTGGAGTTTGGTTTCTGACTAGTTGACCACTCAGGCGGATGATGTTGTGAAATCGAAACTGGTCCATCCGCGAGTAAATGGGCCGGAGTCATAACACGATCAAGGCCCATATCAGTAATTACAGGCTCAAATTCAGAGTCTAATAGAATATTATTGGGCTTTATGTTGCCGTGCACATGCTTCTTCTCGTGGATATAAGCAAGTCCTTTAGCTATCCCTCTTGCTATCTTGAGCCTTGCCTCAAAGGAGAGAGTATGCGCTGATATTGGAGCGTTAATTAAAAACAAATTGCTAAAATGAGCTGATATTGGAGCGTATG